CAGAGCTCTCAGCTGAACACAAGGCTTGGGCTCCATGGGTTCTTCTGTGCCAGGTCGGGGGAGCCTCAGCCTGGTTGCCCCCAGGGAGCTCCCCACACCCCAGAAGCCCCGCTCCTCATTACAGCAGAGGGGGACACACACGATATCCAGAATATATAAGAAACTCCTACAACTCAATAGTAAAAAGACAACCCAATTTAAAAAAAAGGATCTGGGGGCGCCTGGGTGGCTCAGTCGTTAAGCGTCTGCCTTCGGCTCAGGTCATGATCCCAGGGTCCTGGGATCGAGCCCCGCATCGGGCTTCCTGCTCAGCGGGAAGCCTGCTTCTCCCTCTCCCACTCCCCCTGCTTGTGCTCCCTCTCTCGCTGTATCTCTCACTGTCAAATAAATAAAATCTTAAAAAAAAAAATAAATAAATAAAAATTAAAAAATAAATAAATAAATAAAAGGATCTGAATAGACCTTTCTCCAAAGAAGATACACAAATGGCCAATAAACCCATGAAAAAGATGTTCAATGTCCACAGTCACTAGGGAAATGCACATTAAAGCCACCATGAGAGGGCAGGGGGTGGGGGATGGGGTAACAGGGTGACGGGCATTAAGGAGGGCATGTGATGGAGGAGCACTGGGTGTTACGTAAGACTGATGAGTCACTGAACTCTACCTCTGAAACGAATAATACTCTATATGTTAATTAGTTGAATTTAAATTTTAAAAGATTTAAAAAAACCCACAACGAGATGCAACTGTATTATACGCGCCAAGATGGGCATAATCAAAAAGACAGAAAATTAGCAAGTGTTCGCAGGGATGTGGAGAAACCAGAACCCTCGAACGCTGCTGGCAGGAATACAAAATGGTGCTGCTGTGGACAATAGTCTGGTGGTGCCTCAAAAAGTTAAACACAGGGTTACCATATAAGTAATTCCATTCCTCGGTATACACCCCAAAAGAACTGAAAACATGGCCACACAAAAACGTGTACCTGAATGTTCCTAAGAGCATCATTCATAACAGCCTGGGCCAAATGTGGAAACCACCCAGGTGTCCACCACCTGTGATGAGTGGATCAGCAAAACATGTCCATCCACACACTGGAATACTGTCCAGCGGTAGGAAGGAATGAAGACAGGAATGGCTCAGTGTGGGTGAACCTCGAGAACACCGTGGTGAGTGAAAAAAGCCAGATGCAAAAGCCAAGTATGATGTGACGACATTTTATACAACATGTCTAGAACAGGCAAACCCACAGGGAAAAAAGTGAATAAGTGGTTGTCTAGGGCTGGGGGGAAGGGAGAATAGGAGGGACTGCTAATGGGCATGGAGTTTGTTTATAAAGTGATGGAAGGGTTCTGGAATTAGATTGTGGTGATAATTATGTAACTCTGTGAACATACTAAAAGCCAGTGAATTATAAACTTGAAAAGAGTGTATTTTCTGTGAATAAGATTTCAATCAAAAAAAAAAAGGGGGATTGGCCTGGATGGCTCAGTTGGTGAAGAGTCTGACTCTTGATTTCCGTTCAGGTCATGATTTCGGGGTCATAAGATCAAGCCCTGCATCAGGCTCTGCACTCAATGGGGTTCTGCTTGGGATTCTCTCTCTGTCTCTCCCACTGCTACCTGACCTACTCTCTCAAATAAATAAATCTTAAAAAAAAAAAAAAAAGAACAAGCCTAAATCAGGGGATTCTGCAGAAGGGGCACTTACTCTCATCCCCCAAGAGGTCACCAAGGACATCATCAATGGAGCCTAGAACAAACAGAAAAGGAACTGTCAAGACTTCAGAAGGAAAGAATGTCATTAACAAGCCTCATGTCTTGAGACCTCATCCCAATTCCAGACTCCTCACCACTAGAGTGCTCAGATACTGGGACCGGGCCCAGCTCTCTCTTCAATGGCCACGAGACGTTTCCTAACTCTCTGGCAACAGATCGCAATGCCTTGTTGAAGGACCCCAGGGTAGAAATTGAAAATAACTTTCTCAAAGGATGATGGTGAGGATTTTCAGGAGCGCCCGCATTCTACAGGACACACTGGCCAACAAGCCAGTTTTCCAGACTCTGAATAAAGCCTCGTGTGCTTCTTTGGGAAAAGAGTCCAAGATTTCTAGGCACACACAAGCTTCTTTCATGCCAACAGCTTCCTCGTGCCCTTCCATCTGAGACCTCCCCCTCCCCTAGCTGGGGCACATGGGGGGAACCCAAAGTACAAGTACTGAATTAGTTTTTGCACCCAGCTGAAGTGCCTTTACCGCCCTTAACGCCAACCACATACTTCTCAATACAGATCCCGACAAGAAGGACTTTTTCCCCAAGCCCCACCCCTGTCTATTTCTGGATTACTCTGAGGGCCAACAGGCAGCACAGGGAGTCCCCTATGAAGACCAAAGCTTCCTGTGCAATTATGGGGGAAACCAGCAAGACTCACATCAAGAACATTTAGATACAGACACGTCTATGTTATTTTTGGATGAAAGGTGGGGAATTATTTTTGCCTTAAGGGTGATATTCCATTTTTCCACTTACCTTTCAATCCCTTTTTGGTTTTCGGTGCCTAACATTGGAAAAACAAACCACATTAACAAAATCAAACAGTGAACATGGCTGAAACTGAGAATACAGAATAAATTGTTGTGCCTTCTGCCAAGTCACCAGAGGAAAAGGAGCACCAATGGCATTTAGAGACAGAGCTCTTTATGCTTTCCCAGAGTTTCTGAGAATAGACTCATTCAGAGCACGGAAACAGCCCCCACTAACCAGCAATGGACACCACTGTGAGTGCCATCCGGTGGGCAGAAGTCTCCTTTTCCCTGATTTCCAGATGCCACCTGCAAACCCTCCCAGGCAGGATGTAACACGACTGGGAAGGTTTTCCCCTCATGTGTCCCTGACTTCTCAACACCAGCAAGGGACACTTAAAAATGCTTCCGGCTGGCCATTCAGAGGCTCAGAAGGCTTGCTCATCTTTTAATAAGTTTGGTATCAATTCTACCTCCCATCATTCTTCTCTGGGGACCATATCCTAGTCCTTGTCACCCAGCCCCTAAAGTTCTCCAGGCAGTCAAGATCTTGGGGGTGGAAGCAGTGGTGAGAGTCTGCATTCTGCCTACCATCTTAAGGCTCTGTGAGGGGCTTTAGCTTGCTCACAGCGCTGTCCAGGTCATTTGAATTCTGCCCACATCAGGCTCATCCTCCCTAGTGAAGAAAATTCAAGTGGTTGATTAAAAATGATGTAGCTTTAACAGTGCTTGGGTCCAAGGCCCATCAAGGCTTCTCTCACTTTATCCATTCAAGAGGTTAAAATCTAGTTCCATAAATTAAAAATTCCCTATAGGGAGAGGTACTTAGATGAGAAGCAAAGTGCCCTCGGTGACTTAATGAGCTGAGGCCTGGAGATTGCTCACACAAAGTGCAGTGGTCCTCATCTCTTATCCTGAAAGCGGATGCAGGAGATGGTAGGTACCCATCTCAGAAAGGAGGTGGGTGTCTGGTACTATGGCCAATATGCATCCCCAGGCAACACCCATGACTACATTTGTGCATTCAGCACGAAGAGTGGATGTTTGCGCTGGTTTTACTCCTTGAAACTATTTTCACCGATGGTGGAAATTTTTCCCTTCACGGTAACTGTAAATCCGACTTAATCCATTAACAGCGAAGTGTTTGACTCAGATTGTCACTCTCTCCTTACGCCTCCTGAGCATTACCAAGGCAGACAGTCCCTGCCTTGGAAGAAAGGAGTCAGAGAGGGTCATCTCTATTTGTCTGGTGTTGCAGGTCCTGTTAACAGAATGCAAAATTCATCTGGGATTACTTATAGGGGCCACTCTGAATGTTTGTTTCTCTTTCTTTATAATGGCAATTTTCACGACCTGCAAGTCCAAACACGTTTTGTCTCCCATCACACCGGAGAGCTTCTGCCATCTCCCAGGGATTCCGTCCTAGCCTCCCAGACCGGGGGAATCTCTGAGAAGTTTGCAAAGGCCGAAAGTGCCACAGAGTACCATCGCGTCATCGCACCTGCTCAACCAACTCCGTGCCAGGCATTTAAAATCCTTAGCAAGGGCCCTTCCGGGTCACCCCGTAGATCCGCAGACTCCGCGCCCCTCCCTGCGTCACCCCCTCCATGCGCCCATCCCAGCTCAACCCCGAGCGCGGCCTACTCTCCTCCCAGCCCCCGAAATCTCCCGGGTTACGCGCCATTCCCCGCGGAGGCGCAGCCGCTAGCCATAGCCGCTCGTCCGGTCCCCATTCGACCCCAACTCGTTCCGGCCTCCCGCTCCGGAGTCCCGCGGATGCCAATCTCTCAATCGGCCGGAGTTCGAGTGAAAGGCGAAGCGCGAGGCACCCTGGGAGTTGTAGTCCTCAGTCCGGTCATTGACAGGGTCAAGGGAACAGGGGACGCCGAGATAAACTACATTTCCCAGAGCGCCCCGCCGCGGCCGTTAGCTTCTGTTCGCGGCCCGGCGCGTTGCTAGGAGCTGGCGCCAGGCCACTTGGGAAGGAGGGGGGCGGGCTCCAAGGCAGCTCGGCTTCTTCCTCTCGCCCTCCCCGGGAACTGCCGGCACCTGGGTTCCAGGACTTCTTCTGGGGGCTGGCTTGTGGCCGGGTGGGGGGGCACGAGAAATGTACTAAGATTTTAAAATTGATGTGCGAAACCATGAACAATTATGTATGTGTCCCACACCCCGAACCTTAGGGAAATGGCTGTGACCGTTTCAATTGTGAAAATCAAAGCTGCGGACACCTGGGTGGCTCAGTCAGTCAAGCATCTGCCTTTGGTTCAGGTCATGGTCCCAGGGTCCTCAGATCAAGTTCCATATGGTGGGCTCCCTGCTCCGCTAAGTATCTGCTAAGGGGTCAGCTTCTCCCTCTACCCCTCCCCCCTGCTTGTGCGCTTTAACTCTCTCAAATAATCTTTAAAAAAGAAAGAAAATCAAAGCTGTGGAGTCAGAACAGAATGCAGTACTGCCACCCAATAAAGGCACGTAACACATTTTGTGTTAACCACAGGTTTTATTAAGGATTTTTTTCAAATTTACAAAGGAAAAAGGGGGTGATGGTTTGGCTTACCCGCAGCCCACTCCAAGCAGGGCTGGCGGGTCACAGCTGTCCAATCATGGTTCAGAAGTTCTGGACCCGTGCACCTCCTCGGTACTCGCGCCTGCACTGACAGGTCCAGCCAGGGATGGGTAACAGTACATGCTAAACGCATCTTGTCAGGTAGGAACCAAACGCAAACCCGAACAGTAAAAGGGGAAAAGGTAGCAAGGAATTATACACTCTGAAGAATACAAGTAATTTCCTTGAATCTACAGCAATTGGAAATAAAATGGTGTTTATCTCAGCAGTCTGAATATTATGTGGAAGGTTATATGTTTGCTACCTAAACTATGAAGTAGTCAACAGTATTGTGGCAAAACAACCTATTTTGGTTCAGAATTCTCAGAATCACTCCCCAATTTTTCGTGATCTTCCTAAGATAATCAATGGCCCAATTAAATGTATTTATTATTATTTAAGATTTTATTTATTTATTTGACAGAGAGACACAGTGATAGAGGGAACACAAGCAGGGGGAGTGGGAGAGGGAGAAGCAGGCTTCCCACCGAGCAGGGAGCCCGATGCGGGGCTCTATCCCAGGACGCCGGGACCAGGACCTGAGCTGAAGGCAGACGCTTAACGACTGAGCCACCCAGGCGCCCCAAATGTATTTATTATTTTTTTTTTAATTTACTCATTTGAGCGAGAGCACGAGCGGGGTTGATCCCAGGAGTCCAGGATCATGACCTGAGCCAAAGGCAGATCCTTAGTTGCCCCAGTGGCCCAACTAAATTTAAAGCAAAATAAAAACGAAACAAAAAACCCTTGGAATCTAGGAATTTGCAGGTCTGCAACAGCTAACACCTGGTAACTCTAAAGATTCCTCATGTTTCTTGTCCTCACTTAAAAAAAAAAAGATTCCTCAAGTTTCTGTGTTTACCATCATGGAGCACAGGAATAGGTAGTGAGAATTTAGTGTGTACAGCTAAAAGCGAAAGTCTATTGGTATTTTAAAATAAAAAATAATTTCAGTCATTTACAGTGTGACTTGGTCAGTTCCTCCAAGAATGTAGTAGTAAATACTTAGCTGAAATGACCTCTGCATTATTTCATGAAAATAATCAAAATCTTTATCTGAGTAAGGAGAATCAACAAAAGACTCTTGGTCTCAGGTAGAAGAACCTTTCCTGGCACTGCTTGAAGGCAACCTAAGACCCTGGGCAACCTACCACATTTATAAAGGTTAGCAGGTGTGCACACCTGCACCTCATCTCTTCCTAGTAAGACGGATGGAAAAGGCTCAGAAAAGGCAGGAGGGCTTGTGAGCCAAGCCATCGAAACAATTTTCGTTCCTCATGAATGTGAATGTCATGTTTCTCCAGCCAAAGCCCTGCGCTGAAGAAAACCCAATAATTAAGACCTAGCATGTTTCGGATCTGTAAAATGCCTCCAGGTATATGAAATCTGAAATGACAGGCAGGAGTTCTTGGAAAGCATATGAATATAGTTAATGTTGCAATTAGGTCAATGTTCTGAAGATAAGCTGATACTTAGCACTGTTATGTCCTTAAGCCAAGAACATGAAAGAGGCCCCAAAGGCTTTGGAACCAACCGTGCTTTGAAATCACTGATGTCCACTGAAATACTCCTCTGTATATATCTAGTAGAACACAAAGTAGAGCTCCAAACACTTCAGGAAGAATCAACCTTCCTCCAATAGCAAAATCCTATTAAGCCTCAAAATTCCAATTTTGAGTTCCTTGTTCATAGTACTTAAAAAAAAAAAAAAGGCTTCTATCAGTATCTAATAGAAAAATCTCATTCTCTTAGCATTTATCATTTTAGAGAAGAGTAGGTTTAAATTTATCTTTGTACTTTTGGTGAAAATGGCTCACAAAAGAACCAAACTTATCTGTAGCATAGACCTGGCTTCTTTGGGAGTGCAAACTGGATCTGCCGCTGCCGACAAACATGCATTCCTCCACTGGGGAGGGCGTGCTTTATTTTAGTGTTACCTGCACCTGATAACGTCATAAACCTGGACCTTAAAATTCTTCGTAGCTTAGACTTTTTAATTATGTGGCATTCTCTTTTCCTCGTGATAGTACAAATTAGGGAGGTTTTACTATATTCTTAGGTTATGGTGAATAAAGTACAAGACAAAAATCCCAATGTTAATAAAAACAGTATCAAATATCAGATTTCGCTTTTAAATAATACTCAAGGTGCTGGACTGAAGGTGGCTCTGTAGTGTCTACAACTTGCTCAAACCTGCCTAGAGAGATCCCAGATCTATGCAGCGGGATTAGGTGGGTGTTAATTCAAACACATTCAGATCCCAACTACAGATGTTCATCTGCGAATAAGGTATTTAACCACTAGTTTTGAAGCAATTCTACATTTAACAGGTCAATATTAAGCGATTTACTGGGCGCCTGGGTGGCTCAGTTGGTTAAGCGACTGCCTTCGGCTCAGGTCATGATCCTGGAGTCCCGGGATCGAGTCCCGCATCGGGCTCCCTGCTCGGCGGGGAGCCTGCTTCTCCCTCGGACCCTCCCCCCTCTCATGTGCTCTCTCTCATTCTCTCTCTCTCAAATAAATAAATAAAATCTTTAAAAAAAAAAAAAAAATATTAAGCGATTTACTGTTATTTCCAAGAATCTGAACTATTGTCAAGATATATCCCAAAGAAATTAACACAGTGCTTGTTACTTCAATCTTAAAACAATTCCCAGTCAGCTCTCTTGGTGGAAGGATTTCTGCTGGCAATGAAAAGTCTCATATAACTGGTTTCACTGGGATAGATTTTATGTTGGGTCCCAAGGTAGGGATGACATTTCGCCTGAATTATACTACGTTCTCAAGACTGATTCTAGAACAACTGGTTTCATGAGACAGATGTCACAGATACAGTTAACAGGTTATTAAAAAAAAATCATGGGGCACCTGGGTGACTCAATTGTTAAGCGTCTGCCTTCGGCTCAGGTCATGATCCCAGGGTCCTGGGATCGAGCTCGACACTGGGCTCCCTGCTCAGCGGGAAGCCTGTTTCTCCCTCTCGCACTCCCCCGACTTGTGTTCCCCCCTCACGGTCTCTCTCTGTCAAATAAATAAATAAAATCTTAGAAAAAAAAAAAATCAAGTGATGCTGTTTTACATCGATTTTACGAAAAACCTTCATTAGGAAGTACATGTTTAACCTTTAAATGTAGAATGATTTTGTAAATTAGATTTCAGCTCAAAGGACAATGTCACAATTCAGATCAAGCTCCTAGAAAAAAACTGAAAATAAAGCCAGTGTACAATAGGAAAGTGATTCTATGGAACTTGCATTTATCCTTTAGCCATAGTTTCGATGATTATATTGATTCAATGACTTATATCCAAAAACCAGAAGACATGGTTTGTCAAAGGAGTTTTCTGTGGTACTCCTGGGCAGAAGAGGTAGCCTGAGTGATGCTTCTACCTTTGTACGGCCAGACACTGTGAGCTCCAAGCACTGTAACGGCTTATGACAAATGGCAGAACATAGAAAATCTGGATTGTTCCAGAAAAACCAGTTGGTAGGGACACCACAGTCACAGTAACTGCAACTAAGAGAGCTCTCCCTGTATGCATTCTACTACAAAGGAACTGTGACCCCTTCTTGTTTCTCAGCATCTCTTCCAGGACAGGGCAAGGGGGAGGGAGATGAATCACCACTGATGGAGGTGCCATCAGTTGCCAAGTGTCAAATGCAGAGATGATTTTGCATTTTGCCCCTTCCCAGGAAGTTTTGGGACAAAGTGAGTTGCTGTGCTACCACACCGATGATTTAGGGATCCCTCGAATGGAAGATTAATTCCTAACGACACGGGACTGTGATCCTTTGCTAGCCCTGCGCTGGCGTTCCCCTTGTGCCGGGAAGATGCTGCCGCGAGTAGTTAGGTGGTAACAACAGGTCGGCAAAGAGGGGCAAGCGGGCGGAAGTCATGTCAATGTGTCAGGCACACATTTCACTCACGCTAAGTTTCCTGATTTGTTTCTTTCCCCGAATCCCTTCTCTTCAGTCCTGTTTCTTGGCCAGGGCCCATGGCAGGAGCAGAAGAACATTTAGCAAAAAGGTGGGAAGGGCTTGACCCCACTTAAAAAATACCTTTGCTTAAAAACACTTACAGATCCAGTGATGAGCAATTAAGAGGTGAAAATAACTAACTACTTAGTAGTTACATTCTACGAATTATCCGAGGTCATGGCCTACTGGGGTCAGCAGCACCACAGATCGAAGTCATGCTGCATCTCTTAAAGCTCTTTCTGATGCCCAACAGGCCTCGTGCAGTGTTAATGGCACTTAAAACACATCCGTTTTTTTCATTTAATCTCTGAAATCTGTTCATTTTTTTCTTCATTTATAAAAAGAGGAAAGGGCTCAATTTATCATTTGCTCTATAGCTCTCTGAGTTTGGTCAAGATCCCAAGCAGCTTTGTGTGACAAGTGTAAGGGATGTCGAGTCCAGCTCATTCTGGAGCGAATTGCACTTGTCCCCACGACCCTTCAGAGCTTGGACTGCAGTGGTTTCAGGTACTTGAAGTAAGACGCATGGACCTGCAGGGAAGGGAGAGAGAAAGAATTACTGATGAGGGGCCTGCAGCATCAAATAGCACACTTTTAACTGAGAAGGTATCTGGGCCTTATTTGGATCGTGATCCAAAACACTGACGGGAAAAAAAACAAACAGTTAATTGAGGAATTTGGACACTGGGTAGTTCATGACATGATTCCTATTTGGGGGTGGAATGGCACTGTGGTCATGTTTTCAAAAAGTCCTTATCTTTTAAGAGACACATACTGAAATATCCATGGATAAAGTTATCTAATATCTTGGATTTGTATCACCATAATCCCCAGGGGAGACAGGGGGTGGGGGTGCACCGCTCGGGGCAGAGGGAGGGTTTTCAGGTGAAACACAATGGCCAGGAGATTAGTCACTGAGGTGTGACAAAGGATACACAGGGGTGTATTACAGTATTCTATTTTTGTATATGTTTGAACATGTCCAATAGTTACTAAACACTCAAGGAGATGAAAGACCTGTGTACTGTGGGAACAACCCAGTTTCCTTCTGAATCTGTTACTCAAAGTGACTGTCCGTAGAGGCCACAGGAGCTTCCAAAACTTTCACAGAGGAGGGGTGTCTGGGTGGCTCAGTCGTTAAGCGTCTGCCTTCGGCTCGGGTCATGATCCCAGGGTCCTGGGATCGAGCCCCACGTTGGGCTCTCTGCTCCTTGGGAGCCTGCTTCTCCCTCTGCCTCTCTCTCCCTCTCTCTGTCTCTCATGAATAAATAAATAAACTCTTAAAAAAAAAAAAAAATGTAATGAAGAATTTCAAAAGGTGAAAAGACATTGTTTTTTTGTACCTCTGATTTGTTCAGTGGGGATTTCTTGGCCCACTCAAACAAATTCTCATACACATTCCCATCATAACGGCCAAGCACAGAGCCGAGTGTCACATCTTGAAAATCAAACGCATCCACCAAAGCAACAGCATCTGGGCGAATTGCAATCAGCAACTCCTTTATGCGCTGATTTACTTGGGTAATCTGAGACTCTGTCATGATACCTCCCTAGAAGAGATAAAACAAGCAAACACATATATACACGTATACAGACAGACATTCATATATATGTGCACACACACGGCTTAAATTCAGAAAATACTCACCTGAAGAAAATCCCCTGCCTTCTGACTGATTCCATACAGACAATACAAGAGACACAAATTCCTTAAGACAGCGTGGACAGATTTATCTTCAATTTTGAGGAGTTTTTCTGAAAAGAGCTTAACTACCACATAGTGGCAATGTGCCTAGATAAAAAGAAAACACCAGAGTGAGAGAACCTTTGAAAAAAATTCACCGCACACCAACAAGGGTTTCTGCACTAAGAAAATGGGTTGGGACAGTGTGAAGGATGGAGAGGGAGAGAGAGAAGAGGAGAGAGAGAGAGAGGGAGAACTATCACTGACCTCGCTTGCTCGAACAAGGTCAACGGAAGTTAGGTTCCATGCTACCTCCTTGCTTTTTCTGTGAATCACTTCATTTTGAAGGTTTTTTGCAGCAACTTCCACCAATCTGTTAAGAAGTGAAAGAAAACCGGAGCTTGCAGGAAATGCCGGGCAGTACTCAGGCCCCAGCCCCCAGAAGCCCCCCAGCTCCTGAGGGGGGGACTCACCTGGCCGCACGAAGTTTGTATGCTTCCGTTAGGCTGTCGGGGCTGTCGATGTCCACCACAGCTGGCCACACTGCTACCTGCTGCGGCTGGATGCGCTGAGTGGGCAGGCCATTCAAGTAGGACACGATGCCGCACACCAACTTCCCTGCGTGCACTTGGTCGTAACTTTTCATCAGGAACCTAAAAATCACCAGTGCACATGCTCTCAGTAACTATGCTTCTCGTGAAACAGAGATGAACTCTTGCAGTGACTTTAAGCAACGTGATAGGTGTTTTGTACTCGCTCGGCCGACCACAAGATAAAACCAGTGGGTCGGGATGGAAGGCAAAACCACCATCTCTCAGGAACAAATGTACCGTGAAGAGCAAACACGGGAACAGGAACTGATGAAAAGGACTCAAACATTCTTTTTTTTTTTTTTTTTTTGAGAGAGGGAGAGAGCGTGCGGGTGGGGGAAAGGGGCAGAGGGAGAGGGGAGAGAGAATCCCAAGCAGACTCTGCACTGGGTGCGGAGCCTGACGCCGGGCTCGATCCCAGGACCCTGAGATCACAACCTGGGCCAAAACCAAGAGCTGGATGCTTGACGGACTGACCACCCAGACGCCCCTCAAACGTTTTAACAATACAAATCAGATTCTCACCTAGCCGTCTGCAGCATCATGACTGTGTTCTCTCCCTCAAAGGTGCAGGTGGGGGTGAAAGTGACATAGATATTTGGAAGGCCACTGCAGTGAGAATAGCCGTGTCCGCCACACGCCATCCGACAGGCTTCGAGAGCAGCATTAGTTGTCCAGGAGGTGAAAGCCTTCAGGCCGGCAGTGAGGGCGTGGAGCTGGAGGGGATGCACGGGCTGTCAGGGCGCGGCTGGCGCCGACGGTCTGAGCCTCCCGGCAAGAAGCCCTCTCTTCCTCCCCTAACAGTGCCAGTCACTCGCCACATCACTTGCCATGCGTGCAAACTGAAGCACGGTCATCTCGGCGGCCTGAATTCATATTGTTCCCACACTCCCTTCCACAGTGCTCCACTTGGCAAAAAAGTCACCACTTATGTTCCTTTGATTAATAAACAACCAACACAGTGTAGTACTTCTGAAACTTAAAAAACAAAACCCACATATCTTCATATCTGATTCACTTTCAATTAAAATAATGGCTGTATCTTTTGAGAACACATGGATTCTTCTCAAGAAATCCCAACATTTAGTTTTCTCTGGACATTATCCAACAGGCAAGGGTGCCCACAAGTGAATGAGGAAACACATACCTCAGGCAGTTCACTCAGATCCCCTTGGCCAATGTCCTCATTAATTCGATGGTAGGTCTCCTTCATGTACGCACCTACAAACTGGAAGGCATAGGCAGTGGCCAGGAGTGGGAAGAGTTTATACTGCTGGGTCTGAAAATCCAAAATCTGTGGTTCTGGTTCACTAAAGGATAGAGAAGAAACAAAAGTAAACACTTACATAGAACTTATTTTGCACCAGATTCTGGTCTAAATACTTCGACATACTGAAAAGCTAGCACTCTCCCCATTTCACCAAGGGGAAAAAAGAGGTTAAGAACCTGCCTAAGGTCACACAGCAAATATGTGGTAGATCCTCACTTAATTGAAATCTAGGCTGTTTGGCTACAGAAAACCATGTTCTCAACCACCTTGTTGAACCGCCTAGGCGGAGAGTATTTTCTAGCTGTGAAGTTCATATCTATCTTAGTCTTCGCAGTATAACTAAGGAAACTATCTCATAGCAACATACAAAAATCAAGGTTAACTTCATAGAAGGAAAGCAATGATAAAGAAGTCTAACACACTAGATGGCTGAAAAAACTATTTTTTTTTTTTTAAAGATTTTATTTATTTATCTGACAGAGAGAGACACAGCGAGAGAGGGAACACAAGCAGGGGGAGTGGGAGAGGGAGAAGCAGGCTCCCCGCAGAGCAGGGAGCCCGATGCGGGACTCGATCCCAGGACCCTGGGATCATGACCTGAGCTGAAGGCAGTCGCTTAACCAACTGAGCCACCCAGGCGCCCTGAAAAAACTATTTTAACCATAATTTTGGAGAAGGCCCAATGCACAGAGTTAACCATATGACATCTAAGAAGGTCAGCTCTTACCGATTTCTTTATTCTTTCTACAGGAGTTAAAAAGGTCATCAGGGAGTCACACTCAAGTGAAAGGCAGTAAGACTAACCTACGGCTATGAACACAGCAGGGAGTCCCATTCATGCCATTCCCAACATACCCAATTCATAGCTGTTAGGAGCAATTAGGATTTTCAAACTGCCTTTAGTGTTCTAAAATTGCATTTATTTTTTTTTTTTTAAAGATATTTATTTATTTGAGAGAGAGAGAGCACACTAGCAGGCGGAAAGGGAGAGGCAGGATCCCCGCTGAGCAGAGAGTCCAACTCAGGGCTCGATCCCAGCGTCCTGGGATCATGACCTGAGCCGAAGGCAGACACTTAACCAACTGAGGCACCCAGGTGCCCCTAAACATTTCATTTATAGAGCTCAAGTAATATTACTGTTTTTCTTAGGTTAAAAATAGTAAGGTGGCTATCCTCATCTTTCTACTTAAAAAAAGGAAGTCTAGTTTTTAAGGAGCAGACCCAGCATACTGCCACCTTAGCTGATTTTGCAAGGCCAATGCATATTCTCGAGATCACATTTGGGAATTTTGATATTTGAATGGGGTCAAAGGTAGGTCTTTAGCAATCTCAGATGCCTCCCTTACCCTGGCTTGATTTCGGACTGGTGCCTCACAGCGCTGTACCGGATGGCAATGGTGCAAGCCTTGGACAGAGACCGAGCGGCTTCTCCTACAAGGAAGGACCTGACAAACACCATGGTCCCGTAGGTCAGCTTGTTACTCACAGGTTTCACGTACGTGCCATCAGGCTTCACCTGGACAAAGAACATGGGACTGATGCTTCATTCTGTTAAACCCAAGTGGCAGTCTGTGCTCATGATTCTCAAAGGGTGGTCCCCAGAATGGCAGCATCTCCGGGGAGTTTGCTTGAAATACAAAACCTCATCCCCACCCTGATCTACTTTATACAGCCCTCCAGGTGATTCTAACACATGCTAAAGTTTGAGACCCACTGGTTTAGCAAACTAGAATATGTTCTTTATACCTGCCAACTGCTCTTGATTTCAGTGTCGTTAATAAAAGAAGCATCAGAAGTAAAAATAGGTTATTACCTTCCAAAAAAACACACCCTTGCAACCCCGTGGTTATCAACAGCTGCTGAAACCCCCATGTTTGACACCTCTGCTCCTCCAAAGATACCTGGGCATACTTCATCAGCATGTTTTCTCTGGGAATACGATAATTGTCCATCTTCAGGTAGCCATTATCCATCTCATCATAGCCAAATTTGGGGCCGATATCTCCCACGGTAATACCTACCACAGATGAAAGGAAAGTCACAAGGTGCTTGTGCTCTGCAATTCCCGGCTTGCCCTGGCCTCTTTCATTGTGTGCTATGCTTTTTGCAGAAGAAAGTGATCGGTTTAGTTTTTCATCTCAACAGCAGACAAACAATTCTAACCTGGCAAAGGCTTATGGGTCCCAATTTCACGAATAGGTACGATGAAGGCATGTAATCCGTAGCATTTCCCCTCAGTGATGAGTTGGGCAAGAACTATTGCATGATTTGAAGTCTTCCCAACTGGAGAACAGGAGAGAGAAGTGAGCAAACCTTCTTACACTTTCAAAGGACAGAAATAAAAGATGGGGAAAAACTGTATGTTAAATACCAGCCTCCATCGATAAAGTGTACCCAAGAGGCTTACAACAGTACCACACCCAGTTTTCAGAAAGAAATTCACTTAAGCTGATAGTCATTAAAATTTATTGAATTTTGGCAAAGCAATCCTTCATTCTATATATATAAAAGCTTTTATACACATTTTATTGAGATATTATGGACCTACAATATTTCTAAGTTTAAGGTGTACAGTTTGTTGATTTGATAGTAATCCTTCATTTTAGGAAAGACTTCACTAAAAAAAAATTAATCAGAAAGACTTTACTTTCTTTTCTACTTATTTCTCATTCATTTACATAAAATTTTTTTTTAGGATAACCATAAAAACATTAATTTATTTCCTTTTTCTCCCTTAATGAAGTGCTTTCTAAAACAGTGGCCACTAGCCACACGCAGCTGTTTACATTTAAATTACTTATAACTTATAACCACACAGGGAAGACTAAGCTGCTTTACATGGTGACTAAGGAAACTGCGCTAATGATGGGAATATTCAAATGCAAAGTTCAGAGTGAGACAGCTGTCCCTTCTGTGCCTTGTAAATGGAGGACAGGTCTACAACAAGCACTACAGGAGACTATCAACAGCCGAGAAGAGCCTTCAGAGCGTTTCCTACATTTCAAAATGATATTCCCATAGAAGCTCTACATCCTAAACACCATCTTGTAATAACTCGTCAAAACATCCAACAAATGCTAAAAAATTCACATACGTCCACCAGGCCACCACTTGATGGAGGTCACAGTAGGGCTGTTGAGAATGAACTCCTGAGTTTCAGGATCGTAAGTGGCTGTGGTTTCCAAGCCTCGGAGATGAGTTCCTAAGGAAATAAGTTACATTCACCTTGGATAAAATATGGGAACAAATAGGCACAGGGTAAAATCTCCTGCCCCGTCTTTTCAGCTCTAGTATCTCAGAGAACAACAAAATCTAACAAAAACAAGATATTTGTAGATGAGCTACAAATAGTTAATAACTGATACAGATACTTCCCTATACTTTTTTTTTTTTAAAGTAAACCCAATATTGGGCTCGAACTCATGACCCCGTGATCAAGAGTCACGTGCTCTACCGACTGAGCCAAGCGCCCCATAATTTCCTATATTCAAACCAGGCAGTTCCTATCAAGGTGAAAATATAAATGTCAAGCATGTTCTATTTCTATACTTTTTAATTAATGCACCTCTATTTAGATCAACCAAAAGAAAATATAAAGGCAGTTTAGAATCGTATTTTCACAAGATCATAGGATAGGAACCTAACAGGGAAGTTAACTGCTCTTTTAAAATAACATCTCTAAGTTTAAATGTGCCAATTTCAACTCATGTATGGTGTCTACACACCAGTTCAACATTCTGGGCTTCTCTATTTACAAAGATTAAGATAAGAGGTGACAGAAAGAGACTTCAGCCAAAGTTCTTATAAATTAAAGACTTACTTCAGAGTGACTTCTAGAATGGAAAACCAGACTTCAAAAAGATATACACTATGGGGAAAAAGACCTGGAACAGTGACCTTTTTTTTTTGATTTCTAAAGGTCCAGTAATAAGGTCTGAGTGCACGCTGCGATTTCCAACGCCAGGCCTTAACTTCGACCCTGGCTGGTTCATTACTGTGACTAGAAGAGTTCCCAGTGTCATGTTTACTGGAGATGGACAAAGATTCACGCTTTAAATCCTAATACAAATGTGCCAAAATTCTTGGAAAACAGTTAACAGAAAAATATTCTAAGTGACACTCCCTCTAATATACTATCCAGAAGCCAATGCCGAGAACCTTTTTCCAAACTGCTTAGCTAATTCCAGACCTCATTAAACACTTAAACTTTGAAACATTTAGAAACCTCCAAGTTGAGGAACAGAAATGGCCACTTCATGTGTGATCCACAACCTTCTCAAGTACATGTGAGAATCAAGGAACCAGCCACTTTCAGCAAAGAAGTTTTTACAGGAAAAGAAGTAACAGAGTAACAGAAGAGATAATGACAGAATGTTTGCAAATGCACAATGGAACCAAACAATACTCCACTCTGGGTCTTGTAAAAATCCTCTAAAATACAATTTAGTACCAAGAGCCAAATTAGCTATAAAATTAAGATAAAGTTGCACAGAAATGAGAGCACATGGCAAATATACATTACATTAGATCAGTTCTGAAACCTTGAAATAGGAAAAGAGAAGACAGAAGGAAATGAATAGCAAACAGAGACACCAATACAGACCAGATTAACAGGGACAGCCACTCCCTCCAAAACAGCTTTTTTTTTTCTTCTTTTTTTCTTAATCTTTGGCCAAGCTACCTTCAGACCTTGACTGAATTATGGTTCTACAAGCCACTCATTTCCCTCAAGCAAGTCAGAGAACACCTGTACTACTGATCTGTGTTTCTTCTGGAATTTGTGCAAGTCCATTAAGGTATCCGTAGGAAAGGGAATCATCGTATTGAAGAAAGAAAGATGGGTTCAGATGTTACATGCACACAAATTCTACACAACTCCAGTGAACTTGAAAAGCCACTCAGTAAATAAATCCTAACTTGTAATTCTTGACTCACTGAAAGGGAACCATGAAAAAGAATAATCAGCATATCTCTGTGACAACATAACCTTTAATTTCCACTGACCAAAGCCACGTCTATGCCAAGACCTGTATATATAAAAAAACCTGGCTTCTGCAGAAAGACCACGGTACGCGGATATGCCCTTGCTAACATACAGTGGGCTCTCCACATACGCTAAGCCTGCAGAGCCCCGCCCAACCCAGAAGGTAGACTGAATGCACCGTACCATGGCCCATCTCTGTCTGGGCATAAGTGCCAATGATCTCCAAGTTCCAGGCGGGCATGAAGAAGCGTTCCTGCTGCTCCGCGGTTGCCTGGTGAAGTAAAGTAGGCAAGAACATGCCCAAGTGGAGATCCAGAGGCTCAGGCCGCCCTCGGTGCACAAAACTTCGAAGAAACACCAAGGATGGACATTTGAGAGAAGAGTCATCAGGTGTGAGAGAATCAGCAAATGTGAACAGAGTAAGGGGAAGGAGAAAAAAAACCTGTAAGTATGAAGTTAGTTGGGTGGACATTATCGTGGGTGGGAGCACTGTCTCTTTCTGTATTACTTTAATCAACTCTTGGCAAATTTCATTTTTCTTAAGTTGGCAAGAAGTTTGTTCTTACGCTACTCAGCTCTTAAATAATCAGTCTTGGTGAGGATTGGCTACCGATTCCAAAGCCTGTGCAGCATAAACATGCGAGTTGGGCAGAGGAGTCCAGCCTTACAATTAAATCAAAGGAAATAAAAAATTTGAAGAGGCTGTACAGGATGGAGAATTTAAGTTGTACAAGTATTTACTCTGATGAGAATGTGAGACAGGAGAACTTTGTTCTCTCAGATGGACAAAATGATGCCCCAGCCGACAGGCTTTCCTAAAAGCAATTTCAGTAATGCTTCTAGGCTGGAATCCTTCGTGTTTGTTCATAAAACATCCAGCATAGATCCACATTCCCTACATAAATCTGGTTCTTTTTTTTTTTTTAATCTGGTTACCAGCCATGCCCTACTGAAACAATTTAATACAAAAATTGACAATGCTCTTTACCCAGTGATTAGTATCAGAAATAAAAGACATGCAACTTCTATTAGAGACCATTAATAATAATTACAAATAACATATTCATGCATAACAAACAAATTATTTGGGAATTATCACTAATGATAATAAACATCTTAAGTTTTTTAATTCTGAATCCATTTATTTATTTATTTATTTATGACTGAGCCAGACAGGTGCCCCTGAATCCACTTTCTAAAGTCATTCTTTTCAACTTAAAATTTGCAGATGCCTTAGACTTCTGTGTGAATTTCTTTCTAATAGAAAATAGATTGATATGCCTTTGTTATCCTTCCACATCACTGGCCTCCCATTGAACTTCTAGCTCTAACTTAATCGACTCTAAATTGCTCTTATTATTCTCTTTAATTATCTTAGAAATTAGCCTGTGCAACCTTTCAGTTTTAAAACCTCTCAGTTTGGGGGCACCTGGGTGGCTCAGTCGTTAAGCGTCTGCCTTCGGCTCAGGTCATGGTCCCAGGGTCCTGAGATTGAGCCCTCCATCGGGCTCCCTGCTCCGCGAGAAGCCTGCTTCTCCCTCTCCCACTCTCCCTACTTGTGTTCCCTCTCTCGCTGTGTCTCTCTCTGCCAAATAAATAAATAAAGTATTAAAAAAAAACACCAAAAAACCTCTCCGTTTGTCCAGAAAGTAAGGTGGAAAATAACCAGGGCGCACTGCTCGGGCGAGGGCTGATCAGCTATGTCTTCCAGTTGCGTGGTTGTGCTTTCTGTTACCCAATCACAGAAAAATCAAAGAATGTGTGACCCACGTGCTCATTTTATAAAGAAATTAGGCTGAGGTGAGTTAAGTGCTTTTAGATCAAGAAGATAATGGCAGAACGAGGACAAGAATCCTACCACCCAATCACATCTTCTGGTTAGGGAAATTCTCGTGCAAGTGCAACCAGGACTGAGCACAACAATGAGGACACCAGAGAGACCAAGGAAAGCTGCCCAAACCAGAGCAGCTCTCCTTGGAAGTGGCAAAGGGAAATCTCCCGTAACACGTTAGCACTGGTGGAAACTGAGTGACAGGTCCATGGAATCTCTCTGTGCTATTTCTGCAACTTCCTATGAATTTATAATCATTTCAAAATAAAAAGTTAAAGAGGGCACCTGGGTGGCTCAGATGGTTAAGCGATTGCCTTGGGCTCACGTCATGATCCCAGGGTCCTGGGATCGAGTCCCGCATCGGGCTCCCTGCTAGGCGGGGAGCCTGCTTCTCCCTCTGCCTCTCGTGAATAAATAAATAAAACATTTTTAAAAAAATAAATAAATAAAATAAAATAAAATAAAAAGTTAAAGAAACAGTGGAAATCCTCCAGATAAACACATTTGTGTGATGAGAGAGTGCTTTCCCTCACAAACAGGAATGCCACTGCCTCTAGGTTTTAAAAGAATGGTGCCGGGGTGCCTGGGTGGCTCAGTCGTTAAGCGTCTGCCTTCAGCTCAGGTCATGGTCCCAGAGTCCTGCGATTGAGCCCCGCATCGGGCTCCCTGCTCTGCGGGAAGCCTGCTTCTCCCTCCCCCACTCCCCCTGTTTGAGTTCCCTCTCTCACTGTCAAATAAATAAATAAAATCTTTAAAAAAAAAAAAATAAAATAAAATAAAAGAATGGTGCCTAGGAAGAAAAATCAACGTACACCTGGGACCTGCCAGGAGCAAACTGGTGGATCCAGGACTGAACCCCGTGGCCTGGGAAGGTCCACTGTTAGCGCTGGAAGACGACTTTGCATTGCTAGAACCCAGAGCGATTCCTGGGGAGGACGGGCCACTCTGAAGCAGCCCACCAGACTCACAGGAGGGGTCTGCATCAGTGTGCTGGATAACGGAATGACAAATGTCAGCGTTACCACAAAACACAGTGAGTGGGGCAGAGATAAACTACTGTAATCAGAAACCCTTTGAGACTGAAGAAAGTTTTTAGGAGAAAAAGGTCTCTTATGACAAGGGTAAGGATTATATTCACAAGTGGATGAAATTTAGACGTGTTATAAGGAGAAAGTGACCTGATAGTTTTTTTGACTTAAATCAAGTATTTGTTGCAAAAAGTTGGTTATGTATGCATGATAAAGATTATATGTTATTTTAAAATCATTTATTTTAAAATTACAAAGCACCAACATTTTACTTTGGTGAAGTGCTACAGTCAATTCTTTTAAACCCATAACACCAAAAGGCTTTCCCAGTCTCTCCCTCTACATGACACGGGGCTGTCAGCCAACGCTGAGGACAAAATGATTAGATTAATAATACATAAGAAAGGAAGGACTTAAAATAGCATATCCGGGGACAGCATGATTATAATCCTAGGAAATCAACAACAAAATACCATCAATAATGAATGAATTTAGAAAATCTGTAGGCTCTAAGGAAGAAAAAAAATCAACTGCATTCTTATCCATTAGGATGCTTAAAGCAGAAACCTCAGTAAAGAGAAAAGCAATTTAGAAACACTACAAAATATTTAAAATTTGTTATGTAACTTAGTTCAGGAGAGTAAAGATTTAATTAGGAAAAATATCAATACCTAATAGGATGAATAGAAGAAGTTATACATAACAGTCAAGAAATTGCTAATTCCTGGTTGAGAAGTCAGTCCTTTATCATAATAAAGATAGTACTTCCCAAGAAATACAAGGATTTAATGTAACACGGATTTGAAATTCCTGCTGAATATAATTTAGAATTTGACAAATTAAGATCGGAATTTGCCTAGAAGAGTAAGTATACAAGAACACCAAATATGTAGGTCTTAAAATATAACAACAGCAGGCTTATCCTATCAGATTTTTAAATATCTTACAAAGCAACAATGAACCAATGTTTATGATATTAGGAGAAAACCAAAGGTACTAATCAATATATTTTTAAGGTTCCAGAAATAAATTGAAACAATAAAACTCTAAGAACTGGAAAGAAAGGGGGAAAAATACTAGTTAATAAACATACAAATGGTGGGATTCATTCATCATTCTATACCATATACAAGTCAAAGCATTAAACATAAATCAAACAAACAAAAAAACTGGAAGAAAATAAAGGAATAATTATCCAAGATATGGGGGAAAAAAATTTACACCTACTCAGAGAAGGATGCATTCAATACATAAAGCCAAAGCATTTAACAAAACAGAAGGCAATACAAAAAATACTCGAAGGGGCGCCTGGGTGGCTCAGTTGGTTAAGCGACTGCCTTCGGCTCAGGTCATGATCCTGGACTCCCGGGATCGAGTCCCACATCGGGCTCCCTGCTCAGCAGGGAGTCTGCTTCTCCCTCTGACCCTCTTCCCTCTCGTGCTCTCTGTCTCTCATTCTCTCTCTCAAATAAATAAATAAAATCTTTAAAAAAAAATACTCAAAGGACACAACATATTTATAAGATCAATGTACAGATTCTACTTAATCAATACGCAAAGGAGAAAAACCCGGTTTATACACAGGAAATACAGACAGTAAGCCAAAACATCCAGGCTCACTGGCTTTGGAAAATTAAAACTTTAACTCTTAGATATATATTAAAGTAGCAAAAAAAAAATTAAAGTAACCCCATTGATGGGGCTTATGGAAACACGGTACACTAATAATTTGCTAAATATACTATAAACTTGTTCGGTGTTTCAAGAAGTCTTAAACTATGCGATAGCTATAAAATGTTCACTCCTTTCAATGCAGTAATTTACTTCTGAGAAAGATATTCTGAAGGCATAACCCTAAAGGTCATAGTTTTTGTAAAGAAGTTTATATTGTTATTAACAATCATGGTGGGGAATTCGAATAGCCCCAAAACCTAGGGAGCAAGTCTCATGGGAAGTCCAACAGGAAAGAGACTCACTCGGAAGAAAGAGGACAGGAGACAGTAGTGAAAATACAGGGAGAAAGACTAGTGACTTACACAGTCCTGTTTACTATTTATCTATTTCTCAAGTTTCAAAGGAAGAGAGGTGCTTTAGTTCATATTTGAGTACTGGTGATGGGAAGGTGCTGACATACTGCACCGATCTTCAAGGACGGTAACTGTATTGTCTAAGCTCTATTTTCCTGATTAACAACAGCAGAAAACAAAGAAGGAGAATTGCTATAAAGTGGCCAGAACTTGAAGTGACCAAGTATCTGTGAAGACCAAGCACACTACCTGCTTTGGGACCCGGAGAAAGGTATGGTCAAGAGGATTATTGCTGGACCACGTTCCACAGACAGTCCCTTCGACACCAGAACCCCTGGGAGAGGGTGCGCCCCTCAGCCCGGACTTCTGCCCTTGAATAAGGCTCACAGACCCACAGACCAAGTGTGTGTCGGATTTCGTGTGCCTCTACACACAGGTGAGTATTTAGAGGAGGGAAG